CAGCCACAGCTTAGCTCCCATCTCTCCCTTTACAGACACCTCCTTGTGCCACTGGCTCCACAGCCTTCTAAGACAGTGAGGGTCACAGGGTCAGGATCAACTGGTGGACACCCCCAAGCCTCAATGTTGGGGGCCCCCTCAGGGCTTGTGCTCCCACCCATGGGATGTCTGAGTCACCCCAGGATAAAGAGAGAGAAGAGAAGAATTTTTCCTCCCTCCTTCCCTCCCTCCATCTCTCCCTCCCTCCCTCTCCATGTCCTTGCTGGACCTGACTCCAGTTCATCTCAGAGTCTGACCACATCAGGCCAGGGGCAGCCTCATCCAAAAATGCCCCAAAGCACCGTCCCACCCTGTTCAGGGACCCAATGGACCACGGCACTTGCCCATGGAGGGTGGATTCTAGGGGACACATTGCCTGGGCCCACAGAGCCTGGCCAAGGGAAAGGGCAGCTCAAAGGCTGGCAATTACACCCACCGCCCCTTTCCTACGTCTGCCCGTCTTTGTTGTCCAGTCTGCAGGCACATGCAATGGCCAGAGCCCTGGCAGCCATCTCGCGTCAGGAGGTCCCGTTAGAGCTGGTGCCCACGCACTCCAGCTGTGGAGCAGAATGAGGGAGCTGCCTCCCTGAGGTCCCTCTGGGCAGGGGCGGTGGGGGGGGGCATGCTGTGTCTGGCAAAACCCCACAGAGCCGGCCTCTCTGCGAGCGAGACCGAATAGCGGCTGAGATGTTGTCTGTCGTGTGCAGCGATGGTGGGGGGTAATGTGGGGGGAAGAGAAAGGACTAGACTCCAGACAGACCTGTGATGCGTACCCACAGGTGTGAGGAGAGAGCATGCTGAGGAGACCCTGGCCCCTCTGAGCTGAGATGTGAGGCACACGCAGGAAGCAGGTCAGCTGAGCGGTCAGGGGAGACCGGGGTGTGGATGGGGGAGAGGGTCCTGAGTGCGGGGTGAGCACAGCATGTGTGTGAAAGGGAAAGAAAACCAACGCTTCTGGAGATGAGGGAGGCAGACAGAGCAGGGTGGGCTGTGGCTGAGGGAGACGCAGCCACAGGACACCCAGTGAGAAGGGATATGATGCGACCTCAATTCAACCAGTGAAGGGTTTCGGGTGGGAAGTACAGTCATCAAATTGGATTTTTCTAAATTCACCCGCAGGAGGAGACGGGGTGGAGCAGGCGGGGGGAGGCCCCTGGAGGGCCCAGGAGCTGCCCTGTAAGTGAGAAGGCGGGGGGAGGCCCCTGGAGGGCCCAGGAGCTGCCATGGAAGTGAGAACCCGGCTGGGACAGGGGTTCACATGAGGACATGGGAGGACATGGGTGACACCACAGGGTGTAGATTGCAGTAACACGGGAAGGGGGAGGTGAGGGCATCAGAATGACTGTGGCATCCAGTCCTAGACTGAGGCCCGTCTCTGAGGACACAGGAGGCAGGGGAGGGGCAGTCAGGTGAGAGGGGGTGAGAATCAGGGTCCAGAATTGCATTTCCTGGATCTCAGGCGTCAGGAAATCAGTGCTGATGTCCAGGGGGTGTGGGCAGATGTCAGGAGTCTTAGGAGGCACTTTGCTGGTGCCACTTGGGGTTTGCATCCCCCCAGGAATCTACAGGACGCGCTTGGGGTGGGGGGGGGATGAGGGGTGGAGCAGGAGTGACTCACCCTCCTGCATGTGGATCACCTGGCCCAGGCAGAGCCCTGCAAGGGAAGCCTCAGTGAGACAGGTGCCCACCGCCAGGCTGATGTCCTTAAACGGGGTCAAGGACTGCATCTCCCACCACCTCCAACCCCCCTCGTCAGCATGGCTCCCATGGGGAAGCTCCCTCCCCTACAGCAGGTTCCAGACAGGTTCCCAGGTGGCCTCCCCACCAGAGCACCCCTTCTGGCCGTGTTTGTGTCTGACCTGTCCCCTTCCCAGTGTCTAGAACAGCCAGGTCCCTCCACTGGAGCTGGGGCTGAGGTGACACAAAGGAAGCAGAGCCAGCAGGCTGAGTGGGCCCCCAAAGGGCTGGGTGGAGGTGGGGCCTGGGTGCCCCCCACAGTCCCGCCCCTCTGCCCTGTGGCCCTCCCACCTGCGTTCTGACTCACCCAGGCCCAGGAGGGTGGTGAGATGGGGGTACATGTGCGCCAGCCTCTCAACCGCTTCTCTGCCCTTGTACCCGGTGAGGCAAGCCAGGGCTCGGCCAGTCAGGAAGTGTGCTGGGGCCAGGTCAGGGGCTCATTTCCGTGGTCTGTCAGGAAGGGAGTGTGGCTGCTCCCAGACTCACGTTCCCCAATTTGGAGAACCTGAGAGGGCGTGGTTTCTGAGAGGCATAGCTGGTGAGATGTTTCCTAACCAGGGTCAGGCCCTGCCCAGATGAAAGCCACATAGAAGTAATTCATCATTCACAGACACAGACGACAGAAGGATGGATGGATGACACATAGATACTCAGACACATAGATATATAGAAACACAGAGACACAAAGGGATATTGACATAGCTAGATACATAGATGCATTGATGGATATCGAGATAGTCACATAGACACTTAGAGACATAGATACATAGAGAGATACTAACATACATAGATATATAGACGCTTAGACACATAGAGTTGAATTGATAGTTAGTTACATAGATGGATTCATAGATACATAGATAGATAGATAGATACATATATAGATGGATACATAGATAAATACCTAGTTACATAGATAGATGGATACAATGGTAGATACATAGAAACGTGGATAGACAATATGACATGGAAACTTCTTGGCTTGTCATCTGGTCCTCACAGGCTGACTGACCCCAAACACACATTTCCTCGTGCAAATGCTTCAGTTTCTCACCTACCAATGGAAAACCATAAAACTCGTCTGACACCTCCATGTTATTCCAGGGAGAGCACAGAGCAGAGGGGGACACTGGAAGGACTCAGCCTGCCCCCCACCTCATGCTCTGCACAGCAGGCAGCATCCAGCTCAGGCTCCATACCCATGTCTCTAGGCCCCTCTGGGCCCTGTAAACCAGGACTGCAATCTGCACACTCCCCCGCCTCCCAGCTGCCTCTGGCTATTTCTAAACTGAAAGCCCTTGAGTCCATAGACGTAAATGCACTAAAGAAAGAGTCAAGTTGGTGGGCGGGGCTTCTGGGAAGGTTGAGTATGCACAGAAGGGTCTTGGCTGGTGATTGGATTCCCTTCCAGATGCTGATAGGCCTTCGTGCATCCATTTAGGGCACAGAACACAGACACTGTCCTAGGGAAGGTGGTCCCATAGCCTCCCCCCTCACAACACTGAGGTGCATCCTTGTGACCTCCCAGGGGAGGGTCCCCCCCAGGAGGAGGAGACAGAGGAGAGTCAGGACCTGGAGGGAAAGGCCTGAGACTCCTCAGCCCCCAGCCCAGGGATGGCTGTGGAGGCTGCAGCCCCAGGCCGGCCCCAGGCAGAGCTGGGCCATCAGGAGGGCAATGGTGGGGAGTGGGAGGATGGAAAACTTCTGTCATAGTGTCAACAATACAGACAAGATCGTCAGAAGGGGGAGATGTGTACTATTCAGTGACATTTCCTACATTTACCATCTTGTGCAACCATTGCCTCTACCTTGTTCCAAATTATTTCCATCACCCCCAAAAGAAATGGTGTGCCCATTGAATCCATGTGCTGGGGGCTAATTCCAGCAGGTCATAAATGCAAGAAGTTCA